CCGCCAGGGGGAGGCCCAGCGCCGCTCCAGGAAACCCGCAGAGAGCGCCTTTTCCCTCTTCAATTGATCGCCATCGCATGACGGAACCCATACCCCAGTAAACGGCCCCCCTGGCGCGGAGAATCGCGAAAGACATCCCATGTGTCCGGGCCGCCAAAGTCTTAGCTATCCCTGCCCCTCTTCCTTCCCCTCCCCAATACCGCTTCCGGTCCACCTCCTCCATCTTCATCCCACTTCCCGGAGTCCGCATGGTCCTCCTCCTCCTCCTCCTCCTCCTCCTCCTCTTCCTCCTCCTCCTCCTGCTGCTGTTCCCCTCCTTCTTTTGCTGCCCCTCTTGCTCCTCCATCTCCTCCACCTCCTCCTCCGCCCCCACCTCCTCCACCTCCTCCTCCTCCTGCTCCTCCTGCTTCTCCTCCACCACCTCCTCCTCCTCCCCCTCCTCCTCCTCCTCCTCCTCCTCCTTCTTCTTCTCCTCATCATCATCAGCATCTTCACCACAATCATACTCATCAGCATCATCATCACGATCTTCTTCCTCCTCCGTCCATTCCAACTCCTCCTCCTCCTCCACCCCCTCCTCCTCCTCTTCCTCGTCACCATTTTAATCACCATCCTCATACTCATCCTCATCCCCATACTCATCATCAAACGCATCCCCATCCGTCAGCATCCTCAGTATCATCATAAGCATCATCATAAGCATCATCATCATCATCAGCAGCAGCAGCATCATCGCCACCTTCATCATCATCAGCAGCATCATTATCAGCATTATCATAATCATTATGGCATCATGTCATCATGTCACAGACACATCAACAGCATCAACAACATCATGATCCTTATCATCAGCAGCATCATCATTAGCATCAGCATCATCGTCGTCAATGTCGTTAGGGTCGTCATCATCATCACCAACATCCCTCAGCATCATCGTCACCATCAGCAACATCATCATCATAATCAGGATCGTCCGCATCATCATCATCATCATCATCACCATCATCATCATCATCATCATCATCATCATCATCATCATCAGCACATCAGCAGCTTCAGCTTCACCTCATCACCACCATCATCATCATCATCATCATCATCATCATCATCATCATCATCATCACCATCAGCATCATCCTCCTCATGCTCATCAGCAGCATCATCGCCACAATCGTCATCATCATAATCCTTGTGCTCCACCTCCTCCTCATCGTCAACATGATCATCATCACCATCAACATCCCCTTCCTTCTCCTTCTCCTCATCCTCCCCTCGTCCCCCTTGACTTAGTTATATCCACTCCCCTTCCCCGCATATTTCATCTCCCCAGCCCCACTCCTCCCCCCCTCCTTCTCTTCCATTCCCCCTCGCCCTCTCGAAGGGGACGAGGACGGAGCAAGGAGGAGAGCAGGACGAGCAGGACGGGGAGCCGCCTGATCGTCAGACGGCGGACGAGGCGGAGAAGGCGAAGGACAAAGATGCCCGGCTCCACTCCTCGCCCCCCGAACCGAAGAGACGGAGCCGCGGAGAAGAGCGGGGCCACGGAGAGGTAGAAGAGCCCCGAGATGAAGGGCGGCGTCGCGAAGAGGATGCGGCCCTGGCAGTACAGCAAGATAGTGAACTCAAGGAACAGGGCCCCGACCAGGTGATACATCTCGGGGCCGGGGTCGGGTCGACGGCGACTCGAGCGAAGTGGACTGAGCATGGACCGACCGTCCCGGCATTCGTACAGGCCTACCGTAGTGCGCTCAGAACAGAAAGACGTTCGAGGGACAATTGCAGTCTTCTTAGAACATAAAGCCGACATGTTAAACCAAGACGTCCAAACCAGAACTATTCTAAGAACATTTCGTGCAAGCCGCAATGTGTGCTCAGACAATTGTTTGATGGGCCCAAAGGGGCGCCAGAACGCCTTGCCTCTGCTTGAAAAGGAGGATCGCAAGACCAATCGACACCGAAACGGGAAGTCGGATGCGGGCTCACAGCGATGCGGAAGGATCCGCCAACGTGCCGTCAGCACGAAGTGGAGTGCCCCAAGGCCCACAACTGCAATGACGGTTGCACCACATATCATATCGGACTCTTCAATGGGCCGTGGCTTCCCCAGGATTCCCCGCGCGACTTTTTCCCGAAGACAGAGGCCCCACAGACGGGTCACAGGAGGGCCTCAGGATGGGGAGGAGGAGGAGGAGGAGGAGGAGGAGGAGGAGGAGGAGGAAGAGGAGGAGGGAGAGGAGGGGGAGGAGGAGAAGGAGGAGGAGGAAGAGAACGAGGAGGAGGATGCGGAGGAGGAAGAGGGGGACCGCTCAGAGACAACCCAGGATGGCCTCAAGACAGTCCCAGAGGCCTCCCCGACGCCGCAGGAGAACCCCGAGAGGGCCCGCAACAGAACCTCTAACACGCAACTGCTCCGACGGTACGCCCCCGCATGAGAGACGTCTCGCTCGTCTGGGAGCAATCCTCATCGTCGTCCTTGTGACTGGTGAGGCACTCATCTTGCCGCTTTACCACCATTCCCTGCGTGTCTTGGCGGAGGCCCTCCTCCCGCCCTCTGCAGTGTCTCTTCCTCGTGGTCCTCCTGCCTCTCCTCCCTTCATCAGGGTTTCCACGACGCTGGGGGAGCACGTGTCCAACAGCTTGGCAAGACTTCGGCCCAACGTTTGGCCACGCGGGCGCTTCCAAAAGGCAGGGGGCGGCGGTGCTTCGCCGCAAGTCTGGGATGTATCCAGCGCCACGACCGTTCTGGAGTCATCGCTCCGAGAGCGTTCTGGAACGCTCTGGAGCGAGTCGTCTACGTCCTGGGATGCCTCACCAAGGGAGGGGAGGGGAGAACGAGGAGGGGAGGGAGGGGAGGGGAGGGGAGGGGGGAGGGGGGAGAGGGAGGGGAGGGAGGAGGGAAGGGAGGGAGGGGAGAGCGAGGAGGGAGGGAGGGAAGGGGAGGGGAGGCTGAAAGCGGGGACGGCTGAGGGGGGGGTCGGCTGGTCGAGCAGGCAGGCGAGAAGGAGGGGACACGAGGAAGGTGAAGAGGGAAGAGGGGAGAGGAAGAGGGAGAAGAGGGGAAGAGGGATGAGGGGAGAGGGAGGAAGAGGGAAGAGGGGAGAGGGAAGAGGTGAGAGGGGAGAGGGAAGAGGTGAGAGGGGAGAGAGGGGGGGAGGGAAGAGGGCGGAGAGACGGCAAGGAACCACAATGTGGAACGCAGAGGGGTAACCGAGAATTCGGGGAGGGGATTATATTGGAAACTGCGATGCGCGCTCGTCCACGATCTAAACCTCAGGACGCCGGCCCACCTGGCCAACTGTGTGCGACCTCAGGACGCCGATCTACCTGGCCAACTGTGTGTGTGCGCTTGTGGTTGTGTGTGTGTGTTGCTTGTTTGTCTGTCTGTCTGTTTGCTTCTTTGTTTGTTTGTTTGTTTGTTTGTTTGTTTGTTTGTTTGTGTGTGTGAGTGTGTGTGTGTGTGTTTCTTTGTTTGTTTGTTGTTTGTCTGTCTGTCTGTCTGTCTGTCTGTCTGTCTGTCTGTCTGTCTGTCTGTCTGTCTGTCTGTCTGTTTGTTTGTTTGTTTGTGTGTTTGTTTGTTTGTGTGTGTGTGTGTGTGTCTCTGCGTGTCTGCAGGGCCTCGTCCTTTCGCGAGCGCCCTGCAGGGCTGGAGGCCCGTGCGCCTGGGAGCCGAGACGGGGAGGCGAAGGCCGAATGGAGGGGGCGGGGGAGAGGGAGTGGGGGGCGCGAGAGGGAAGGCCAGGAGCATATGCAGGACAGGGGGGGGGGGCAGGGTGACGAGGCACCAACCTGCCCCTCGGGGAGCCGCAGGACGGCGACAGGACGAGGCAGTGATGACCGCAGCCCAGACCTCGCCTGGTGCGCGCTGTGACCAGGATCCCCGGGCGAATCCCGCCGAGGCGACGGGCCCCCCCCGGATGATAAGCCCCGTATGATCGACGCGTCCCCCCAGAACGCGGACCAGGGCATCATCGTGGAGCAGGGTGAACGACGGGAGGTGCTTCAGCCAGCGCCTGGTGCTGAGGGAACGACATCCGGACCGTACCCCCACCGACCATCGATTCTCCGGAACCGCTGGGAATAGAAGAACAAAACACTACAAACAAAAAACTTTTGGCGCTCCGCGCGGATTTCTTGGATCTACGCTGGACCCCCCACCCTGGCGCGCAGAGCGCGCCAGGGGCGGCGCCAGATGCGCCGCCGGGGGTGCCCAGCGCGGATCCAAGTCCGCGCGGAGCGCCAAGAGTGTGTATGTGTTTATGGCGTTTTTTCGTCTTCGAGTACCCCCAACAACCATCGATTCTCCGGAACCGATGGGAAACGGGGGTAAGATTCGGACTTCGCCACGTGCTCGACGAATTCAACCCTGCCCCCGTCGACCATCGAATTGCCTGAACCGGTGATCGGAAGCGTTAGGTTTTGAATTTCGCCGCCGATGTTTCTCCACGCTTGGCCCACCTCCATCTTGCCCACCGTGAGTTCCACGAGGTCGCGAATGTCCTCGCGAAAGAGGTCGAACCGCTTGATCTGCATCTGGAGGCGCAGCACCTCCGCGTCTGGCAGGACCCCCCCCCGACCTCTCCTCTGGGCGGAGGGGGGCCCAATGCACAGAGCGACCCTCATGCAGTATGCTGCCGCAGGGGCTCTGACAAGCAGCGTAAATGAGAAAGAGGGTCGGAACAGAAGGAGGAGGAAGAGGAGGAAGAAGAGAAGGAGAAGAGGACAAGGGGAGGAGGAGGAGGCGGAGGAGGAGGAAGAAGAGGAGAAGGAAGAGGACGAGGAGGAGGAGAGGATTCGACGTAGGCTGAGGCGCGCCGAGCCTTCTGAAGAGAGGCCAGCGCGAGAGCCTCGCCAGAGGAGGGGCTCCGAGGACGCGGATGACGCCCTGGGGCGCCCCCGGGAAGGACGTCGCCCTCGGCCCGGGCCCGTCGGGCCGCGCGCGCCCGCCCGGGGCGGGGCGGAGCGAGCCGCGCGTGCGGCCCAGGGGGGCCGACGCCGATGTGCGGTGCGGGCACCGCGGCTCCGGGAGTCCTCGCGCGCCCCCCGCGCGGACGTGCGGCGCCCTCTCCCCGCGGGGGGCCCTGGCAGAGAGCCACGCCGCGGCGCCCCGCTGCCCCCCGGCACGTCGCCGCTCTCTCTCGCTCTCTCTCTCGCTCGTCTGCCTGCCAGGTCGCGCGCTGGAGCGGGTCCGCCCACGGGTTCTGAGAATCACCCCTCGATGCTCGCACTGCCATCTGACACGTCGTCGGGAAACGTCCTTCACGTCTAACAAGCGGGCAGAACGGGACCGAGAGAGAGGTAGATCAACCGAGACAGCGATCGCTTTGGGTTCCAGTGCTCGCCATCACCGTTATCATATTGTTGTGCCTTCTCCTTCCCTCATGTGTCCTCTTCCTCTTCCTCTTGCTCGCTCTCGCCTGACATTGCCCAACGAACCCTTCCCCGTCCGCCTCAGACTTGTTTGCGGAGGCTCCTCTGAGGTGAGCTTCTGAAGGACCTCGCGAAAGCTTTTTAGGGGCTCCTTGGGCGCCTCTGGAGATGTCCCTGGCGTCTTTGGGCCGCCTCCGGGGGGCCCTCGGGCCACCATGTCGCGAACCGTGACCCCGGGTCACGGCTTGCTTGAATCTCCCAAAGGCGTCTAGTGTCAATTTTGGCCCGTCATGGGGCTCTCCGTGGGAAGTCTCTGAGCCCTCTTGGGCCGTCTTGGGGCCCTCTTGAACCCTTTCTTGGTCGTCTTGGAGCGGTTGTCGGTGCCTCTCAGGCGTTCTAGCCTGGTAGCCAGACCGAATAGCCGAGTAACCCAAAATCATACGAGTACAACTACAGTCGAAACGTATATTAAGGACGCGTGGTAATGACGCAATACCCTTGGAGGCTCCAGTTGGGATTATTTGGGCGGCGGTGACCAGTGAAAACGGCAAAGGACGGACCACAGAGGCAAGGACACGAAGGTACCCTAGATGAAGGTGCGCGTCCTTACTAGGCGCGTTGACTGTAGAACATCAACCTTTGCTGCGTTGCAAGAGCCTCCAGCGTCTGGCGGGGCTCCCGCGCCGCCGGAGGCTGTCTTGAACCCCGTCAGGGGGTGCCTCGGGCCCGCCGCCGAGCTGTGCTGCACGGCTTGGCCAGGAACGTCCAGAGGCCCAGCAATCTCGCGGGACCCTCTGAAGGGGGCGTCCAGGACCCCCAGACGCCGGGGATCCCGTTTCGGGGGGGACAAGAGGGGGTGCTCCGCAGGGTACCAGCTTATAGAAGCATAGGAAACAGAGGATTATATTTACACCGAATTGATGATGGAATAGAATTCATGGAGGCCGACGAAGAAGAAGAACGACCAGACACGTGAGCGGGTTACAGAAGGCATAGATTCCGCGCCATGGCACTCGGTCTCACGTGCTTGCGACTGGCCGCCCACACACCCTTCCGGCATAGTTTGCCCTGTGGTCGTCCCAACCAGGTTGTCAACCCATGTGTAACTATCCTTGCCGCGCTCTCGCACAGCAGATATCCAGGCACCGAGCATTCGAAGAGGCGGAGCCATGAACTCAATGAGCATGTCTTCAATGTTAGCCTGGCCCGTTGACTCAAAACGCCCCCAAGCCACATGGTTCAGATGGCCGAGGGCCGCACTGGTGCTCTAACGAGACTGTCCTTCCCGAAAAACAGCTCGGCCCCGTCATGGGGTATGTAGCACTGATCAAAACATCCATGAGTGGCCAAGCTGTTACGCGCATTAGATGCGGAGACAGCCGCTTCTCTGCGTTACGCTGCGGAGCTGCTGCCACCGAATGAGCTTTTAGACTGCACTGAGAAACTGCGGCGCGCAGGTCTGGTTGTATCATGTTGATCTGGGGAAGGGCTGCACTAATGAGCACCAACTCGCTTGATACGCATTCCACTCTTGGGTACCCGTAATGGATTCAGCAAGAATGTGCCAAGGGAATCACTATGCTTCGTTCCGCATTGGATCTGGTACAGCTTGCCACATGCACATGTTCTCAACCTGCCTATCTGGCCGGCATGCACCAGTAACCTGGCTGTCTGGTCGACATTCGAAATCGCTGCGCGCAGTGCGCCGAGGCAGAATGGCAAGAAACGTGACCCGAGGGTATCGAAGCCGGTATGATGGTGGAGGTGACCGCCCCCGAAGAGCACGTGGGCAAACATCATCGGCGACCCCAGTGGCCCAGCAGAAGGCGCGGCATGGTGCAGGACGTCGCTGACCGCGGCAACCTCAAGGTGTCAGCGCCAGCGTCCCCGTGACAGGCATGCTCGGCTGCCTCGCGGCCTGCGCGCTCGAACTCGAGCTCGAGGGGCCGCGCCACGTGCAAGCATGGAGCTCGGCGAGTACAAGCAGCTGCCCGACATGCTCGCCTGCGAAATCATGGGCGACTGACCGCTGGCAGGCACTTCAAAGAGTCCGGGCGTTCCAGATGATACTTGCCCACATGCTCCCCGGGTGGTGGTTCGGGGACTGTCCCGGGTCAGTCCAGACTCGGGTCGGGCTTTGCAGGGTCTTCTACGATCCTGCAAGATCCTGCACGCAGGCCCAAGCCAATGCAGACCTGGCTCTGCAGGGTCCTGCAGGATCTGGCGCTCTGGCTGACCCCCCTTTGCATTGACTCTGGTCGCAAGGCTCCCGACATCGTCACCTCCACCATCATGCCGGCTCCGATACCCTCGGGTCACGCTCCTTGCCCTTCTCCTTCCACGCACTGCGCACGCCGACGAGGCGTCGGGAGGGGGAGCCTGCTCCTCCGTCGACTCTGCCTCCCCGTCGACCACTCGGGAGACGGCCTGGCCCTGCTCAGCCCCAAGACATCCGGCTGCTCAACTTTTCTTGATGCGTGGGCCCCAGAGGCCCAGACCACTTCCCTGGGGGCCGGCTTTCTGTCCTGAGTCGTTCTGTTGACGCTCCCGCGGCCCAGCGAGGGCCTCCAGAAGCCGCAAACGGTCAAAACCCGCCCGCTCCAATTTCTGTTCTGGCGTCGGATCTCTGGAGCACCTCGTTCCCCAGACCCCCGACGTCATGATTTTTTAATAACGTTGACCCTCAGAGGTCTCGACCCCATCCCCAGGACCGGTTTTTCATCCTGAATCGTTTTCTGACGGTCCTGAGGCCCGGCAAAAGCCTCCAAAGGCCGGAAATACGAACAAAAACCTCCCGTCATGATTTTTTCCTTACCCGTGGGGGTCTGGGTCTCGGTACCCCTCGGGGCCCCTGGGAGGAGTTCCCTCGGGACCCCCGCGCCGGTGGTCTTATTCATAAGCTTAGGTCGGGCGTGTCCCCCTACAGGCGGATCTAGGCCGAAAGATGCAACATACTTAAAAAAATGCCCCCGAATTGTCAAATAACTGAAGAAACATCGCCCCCATATATTTGTTTGTTTGACTATTTTTGGTGATTCCTCCTGTAGAGTCAGAACGCGCCAGGTGGTAAACCGAGGTACGAACTCAGAATCTCAAATAACAATTTTGGACGCCTTACTGAACACGAAAAAACTCACACCAAATCTTTCCGAGAGAAAATCTTCAAACGGATCTCCAATAAAATCTTCCGAGAAATCTCGCCCGCGCAAAATCTTCCCGAGAATCTCCCAGTGTAGATGACTACCTACCAGACCACCCCAACCCAACCCGAAGACCCGAATTTCGGGTTGGGGGGGGTACGGGTTCCACACGTGTTTTCTCGATGTTCCCCGACCCCCCCAACTAGAAATGGAGGGCAAATCGAGACCTTCGGGTTGGGTTGGGGTGGTTTGGTGGGTGGTGAGTAGAGGGCAAGCCCGACTTACGACCATCGCGCCGGTGGTCTTCTTCACCAGCTCGAGCAAAGGACCCGCGCTGCTCGGGCCCGTGCGACAGCCCGCTCTTGACGCGTGGGCTGCCCCGACCACCCCCCCTCTGCATCTCGTGCGCGCGCCACGTCTCGGTCGGCTTCGGACTACCTACAAGACCACCCCAACCCAACCCGAAGACCCGAAGTTGACCCGAATTTCGGATTCGTGGGGGTACGCTCCATGTGTTTTTTCTATGTTCCCCGACCCCCCCCCCCCCACTGGAGATGGAGGGCAAATTCAGGCCTTCAGGTTGGGTTGGGTTTTTTTGTTTTGGGGTGGTGACACCCCCACTCTGCTTCTCGTGCGCGTGCCACGTCCCGGTCGGCTTCGTTTGGAAGCTGGGCGATAGCTGGCAAGTCCGTGGCTGCTAGAACAGCCTTCCTGGAAGAAAAAAACAAACTCCCGGAATCAAGCTCAGCGCACTAAACAATAAGCGGGCTGCTTCCTGGAAGAACAAACAATTTCCCAGAACTCCAATTTAGCAGCCACGGGTTTGCCAGCCTTCGCCCGGCTTGTGATTCGTGGTCGACTCACGGTCCTCCATGTCTCATTGCACCGACCTGGCAGACGTGCGTGCAGCAGCGGATTTGGATTTGTGCGTGGACTTCTGCCAACGCGCAATCCCCAAACGGCGAGCGAAAAACGGAGTGAATTTCACATGGAGTTTGTAGCCTTCATTCCTGGCCCAAGCAATTCGCATGAAATTCACTTCGCAATCCGAAACGAAATTCTCAAGGACAATCCGGGCCCATCCCATTGTTTTCCAAACGAAATGCGCTCTGCGAGGTTGGCACCATGACATGTCATTATGACTTAGCCCCGGAGGCTGGTTTAGAAGTCGTTTTAGCGAAGGGCGGGCGGGACGGTTTAGTAAGACAGTCTCGCGTGACCGAAGCTGCGGGGGGGCTGGATGATTGAGGCGCTTTTTATACAACCATTTTGGCATTGGTTTTTCTAAAATTCAGCCCGTCACGATTACTGCGCATGCTCTGAAATAGTCTTTGCGTGCGCCAAGCGCGACAAATTGATGATGGGCTGCCGTTGACGCGACACCTGGCAGATCGACGCGCGAAGAAGTCAGGCATGCGCATGCAGACGGGGACCCGGCAACATGCCCCCAACGCGAACGCAAATCCGCCCCCCCACCTCCGCGAGAAGAACTGAAACTGACAGTGCTTTACGGAGAGGGGCCGAGATATTCGGGCGCCTCCCGTGGACGGCATGGCCGGGATGGCCAGGGTATTCTTGTTCTTAGTCTTATTATTCCCTACCTAGGCTCTGCCCAGAGGGTTCTGACCGTGTTCTCTTAAAGGGCCGGGCAGTGCAAAACGCCCCGGGCGGTTCCCCCAGGATCCGCCCCGCGGTTCCCCCAGTGACGTTCCGTTAGCTGAGCGTTGCTTATCTCAGCCTAGCTTAGCTTATTTAATCATGGCTTGGCTTCGCTTCATCTTAGCTCAGGTTTATCTTAGCTTAGATGACCTTCATCTTAGCTTCGCCGAGCTTTAGCACAGCAGAGCACAGCATAGCAGAGCAGAGCGTAGCACAGCACAGCGCAGCATATCATAGCAAAGCCCAGCATAGCACAGCATAGCGCAGCATAGCATAGCATAGCATAGCATAGCGCAGCACAGCACAGCACAGCATAGCACCACGCAGCATTGCATAGCATAGCATAGCATAGCATAGCATAGCATAGCACAGCACAGCATAGCATGTCATAGCGCAGCTTAGCATAGCATTGCATATCATAGCATAGCATAGCTTACCATAGTATAGCATAGCATATCATAGCCTAGCGCAGCATTGCATAGCATAGCATAGCGCAGCATAGCATGGTATAGCATAGAATAGCATAGCAACTCATGCTGCTTTCCTAGGGGCTTGAACTTCTAGGTATGGTCGCACTGGGGTAATTTCTTATTCTTATCATTCCGATATTCTTACTTGGGGGGAAGGGGGGGTCGGTTCTCCAGGGCGGGGGCCCTCCGACAAGTGAGCCGGCGAAGGCCACCCGCGGGGCGCCCATGGAGCCCCCGACACGGATCTCGCGCCCGAGGCGGTCAGCGCGGAGTTTCCAGGGGCAGCTCACCCGTGCCCCCTCGACAGCCGTCTGGCTGCTCTCCTCGTCGCGGCCGTACCGGAACGGCGGATCCTCGACGGCGAGCCTGGCCAGCGACTCCATCGTCCTATCTTCGTCTTTCTGGGTGTTTGGCTTGCACGCGACCTTGATGGCGGGCTCTAAGAAATCCCTTCAACGTTCGAGCACGGGCTGGTCCTTCATGTCGCACAGGGCGCCACCAGGAGCTGGGTCTCAGGTAAACGATGGCGATGATGTCGCTGGCAGAGGGGTGATGGAAGATACATTTGATGGAGGGATCAAGGATGGACGACGGAGGAGGTTCAAGGAGAAGGATGAGTGGATGAGTCGATCCTGAGGAGGAAGTGGATGGGGGTGAGGAGGCGATGGATGAGGGTTAGGCGGAGAAGGACATGTAGACATGGAGGAGGAGGAGGAGGAGGAGGAGGAGGAGGAGGAGGAGGAGGAGGAGGAGGAGGAGGAGGAGGAGGAGGAGGAGGAGGAGGAGGAGAGGGAGGAGGACATCTTACGATTTGCCACTATAGCCTGTACTGATGATTCGGTGGGAGGGGATCTCTAAGCTGCCTTGGGAGGTCTGTGGTGATTGTGGGATCTGTCTGGCCATTTTGACCTTCGGCGCAGGGGCTTATGACCTTTCAACTCTGTTTTTTTTTTGCCTCACCTTGAGTTTCTCTGACATCAGCCGCTCTGCAGGCCAGCTCTACAGAGTGCTAGCCTCAGAAGGCTCTACTTTGAAGGGGGAAATGGGCCAGAATGGTGGCCACAGCGACGCCACTTGCTAGGAACCGAAACGGTGAAAAAGCCTGCCCCAGAGGAACCGAACAGACACGGGTAGCAGCCCAAGACTGGCGTTTTGTGTCTTACTCTTCTGCCAGGCCAACCAGCGCAAGATGTGCCAACCCTAACACACTTTGTACGCTCTCTCTCTCTCTCTCTTGCACCTACTCCTAGAGTCGCCTGACTGTTATATCATTTATCGCATTGCACGTGTATTTACCTCGGCACCGCTTGCCTGGATAAGCTAAGGGGGAGTATGGGGTATCTATCGTATGGTCGTGGGCGGGGCCCAAGGTAACACCAGGCTTAGATATTGTCTGCGGCCTGGCGGGCACATAGTCTAAAGTGTTAGGACCCTATACTCTGTTCGCGTCTCATTGCCCTTCCTGTTTTGCTGCACCCGCCAAGCTTAATTCGTGTTCGCCTTACCGAAGTCGGCATACTGCGCTTGTTTCTGTCGCATTAGCGCTCCATGCTTTTGTACTAGGCCCGCGCAACGTCAAAACGGAGAAGGAGGAGGAAGAGAAGGCGGAGGTGGATGAGACCGTGAAGCACGTTGATCACCAGTAGGAGCTGGAGCAAGAGAAACAGGGCAAGCAAAGGAAGGATCTGGGAAGTCGCGGCAGACCTCCCGATCGATCCGCTGCCCCTGGTCGAACTGGAAGTTCTCGCGGTTGTACGTGAACAGGTCCTGTGGTGTGAACGAGGAGCAGCAGCAGCTGTATATTACACACGAGGGAGGGGGAAGAAGGACGGAGGCGCGCAGGGAGGGACAGAGTAGAGAGAACAAGCTAAGCGCGCTTGTGCAGTTTCTGACGTATGACCCGTCTCACCTATCCCTCCCCGTTGCGCTCACATTTCTCCAGCATAGCTTAACTGGGCCCTCCAAATGACCCCTTATCGTGCTGTGCGCAATCAGAAAAGAGGAGCTGCCCACATTGGAGGAGGATGTGGTGGATGAGCCAGGAGGATTAGCAGGAGGAAGGGGGTGAAGATGAGAATGTGGGGGACAAGACGGACGAGAAATAGCAGCAGCCGAAGCGGGAGTACGAGAAGGACCCACGGGAAGGCGCAGAAGGACGGCGACAGCGACGAGCAAGGACCTCGGGGTCGAGAAATAGCAGCCCGCTGGGGCGAGACCGCCAATCCTGAACGACGGGAGCAAAGCGCCAATCCTGAAATGAGGCCACCGCTGAAGCGGGAACACTCCTTTGCAGCATCAGAAACGATCCGATCGAGAAGCCCCTATATGACAACTCAACTTTGAATCTCTAAGCGTGGCAAAAATATGAGGATAACACCCCGCCGCTCGGACAACGTTCCGCCGAGAGAAAGGATGAGTACTCATATCGAGGAGTAAACATGGAAGGAGAGGAATAAATGGTACTACTGGCCCCAAGGTCCCAACCGGACGAGGGGAAAGGAAGAGACCAAGATCGGAGATCGGAGGGTGAGATCGCAGTGGAACGGAGACCCCCAACCGGGAAAGCGTTTCGTTTCGTTCGTGTCGCGCGTGCGGGCGAGGCGATGCTGCGTGGGCGCGCGAGAAGAATGAACCCGCCGTTGCAAGGGCGAAGTCAAGACAAATGATTATCGTCCGTCTGTCCTGCGGTGGCTCGCGGTGGCCCGCGGTGACCAGTGGTGTCCCGTGGTGTCCGCCGCTGCCAGGGCGAAGTCACGACAAATGATTTTCCCTCGCCCGTCCGGCGGTGGCTCGCGGTGTCCCGCGGTGTCCCGTGGTGTCCGTCGTTGCTAGGGCGAAGTCACGACAAATGATTCTCCCCCGCCCGCCCGTCCGTCCGTCCGTCCGGCGGTGGCTCGCGGTGTCCCTTGGTGTCCCGTGGTGTGGTGCCCCGAGGTGTCCCGTGGTGTCCCAAAAAGTGAGATCGATAGTGAGATCGAAAGGTGTCCCTTGGTGTCCCGTGGTGTCCCGTTGATTGAGATCGATAGTGAGATCGACAAATGCCCAGTGGTGTCCCGTGGTGTCCCGTTGAAGGAGATCGATACTGAGATCGATTGAGTCAGATGTTGGTTCCCCCCATCTCCCCCCCCACAACCTCCTAATCACCGAAGGGTGGTCGTATAGGTATGCGGCGACCTCCTCCTCCTCCTACTCCTCCTGCTCCTCCTGGTGTTCCTCTCTTTGTTTTTCAATATGCGACTCGCGACTCAGGCCAAGACATGCGACGCCCTCCTCCTCCTCCTCCTCATCCCTCTCCTCCTCCTCCTCCTCCTCCTCCTCCTCCTCCTCCTCCGCCTCCTCCGCCTCCGACTCCTCCTCCTCCTCCTCCGCCTCCTCCTCCTCCTCCTCCTCCTCCTCCTCCTCCTCCCTCCTCCTCCTCCGCCTCCTCCTCCTCCTCCTCCCTCTCCTCCTCCTCCTCCTCCTCCTCCTCCTCCTCCTCCTCCTCCTCCTCCTCCTCCTCCTCCTCCTCCTCCTCCTCCTCTCCTCCTCCTCCTCCTCCTCCTCCTCCTCCTCCTCCTCCTCCTCCTCCTCCTCCTCCTCCTTTACTGTTTCTCAATACGCCATTCCCGGAAGCCCTGCCCCGCTCCCCCGGACTGGCCGTTCATCCCGACTCGTTTCGTTGACGGCCCTGGGGCCCGGCCCTGCCAGGGCCAGACGGAGGAAACGAAAATCCGTCCTGACGAGGAGGAGGAGGAGGAGGAGGAGGAGGAGGAAAAGGAGGAGGAAGAGGAGAGGAGGAGAGGAGGAGGAGGAGGAGAGGAGGAGGGAGGAGGAGGAGGGGGAGGAAGAGGAGGAGAAGGAGGAGGAAAAGGAGGAAAAGGAGGAGGAGGAGGAGGAGGAGGAGGAGGAGGAGGAGGAGGAGGAGGAAGGGTCGCCTAAGCCATTCGGAGAAACTTTCCATCCCGCCACCACTGGAGAACGCCTTCGGCGATGCGCAGCTGCGGGCACGCACCCTCCGAGGCTGGAAAGCCGCCGAAGGCCGACGACGACGGGCGAAAACCTGGAGGCTCTGGCCGAAAACCTGGTACCTCGCTGCTTGCCACTTTCCAAGAAGGCCTTCTCAGTGGCCTCCTGGATGGGGCCGGAATAGATGGGGTCGGAGGATCGCGCCGCGCCGATATGTCGGCGATGCATCGGCGATGTATTGGCGATGCACCGGCGATGCATCGGCGACGTCGGCGATGCATCGGCGACGTCGACGTGAAGCAAATCGGGCTACACATCGAGCCGCATCGCCGATGCATCGGCGATGCGGCGCGATCCTCCGACCCCATCTACTCCGACACCACCTGGGAGGCCTGGATTCTCTAAGAAGGCCTCCTCATTTTCACTTCCTCCCCACTCTCGCCTTGGCGGCGCGCACAACGGGGTAGGGGGAGGGGGCAGGCTTCTTAGAAGGAGGCCGCTTCTTAGAAGGCGTCGGCCTTGCATCTTTAGACAAGGCCCGCGCCTTCTAATAATCAAGGCTCCTCAGAACGTGCGTTAGCGCCAGCGTGTGCTTGCCCACCGAGGCCCTTCACTACGACGAAGGCGATGTGATGGCCGACTGGTTGGGTGGAACGGGGTAAACGCACATACACACACACACTTTTTGGTCGGCGGGGCGAGAGCGAACCTCTTCCGCTTAAAGCAAGGCGGGCTACGCACAACTTGACTTAGGGTTACAGGGCACAGGCGGGCGGGGCCTCAGGCGGCCGGAATGGGCGGGGCCCGAGGTGCAGGCGGTGCCGAAGAGCTTGCACAGGAGAAGGTACGCCGCGGACAGGGGTCGGAGGTGAAGATCCGGCTGGTGAGCGATGTGGTGTTGCCGTCAACGGCACGTCGTGCACACCAGCCTCAAGCACTGCAGAGGAGGACGTGCCACTTGACCAGGTCGACGTCCAGGAGGGAGATAACCACCACGAAGGCGATGAGCAACGTTGTGCCACCGGATGGTACGGAGGAGGCCCAACACACACAGGGCTATCGCACGTCCTAAGGCTTCTCGGTAGAAGCGGGGGTGCTTCTAGGAAGCCTTGCCCCCTCCCCCTGCCCCCCCCCCTGCGCGCGGACGGCATCGCCGCCGGCCTCGGCGACGGTGGGCCTCCGGGCGCCGCGCTGCCATGAGGAACGTCCAGGGTGATTGCAACTGGGTCGGGCACGTCTCCCCACAGGCGGACCCGGGAGGCAAAATCCAAGGACCGTCCAACCAAAAAAGATCCAGAGCATGTTCTCCAAAGTGATCAAAACATCGTGCCCCAGACTGATGTCCTCCTCTCCTCCTCCTCCCTCCTCCTCCCCCTCCTCCTCCTCCTCCTCCTCCTTCCTCCTCCTCCTCCTCCTCCCCCTCCTCCTCTCCTCCTCCTCCTCCTCCCTCCTCCTCCTCCTCCTCCTCCTCCTCCTCCCTCCTCCCCTCCTCCTCCTCCTCCTCCTCGTCTCCTCCTCCTCCTCCTCCCCCTCCCCCTCCTCCTCCTCCTCCTCCTCCTCCTCCTCCTCCTCCTCCTCCTCCTCCTCTCCCCCTCCCTCCTCCCTCCTCCTCCCCCCCTCATCCTCCACCCCCTCCTCCCCCTCCTCCTCCTCTCCCCCGCCTCCCCCTCCCTCTCCTCCTCCTTCCCCTCCTCCTTCCTCCCCCTATCAATCTCCGAGCGCGGCCCTCTACGACCACGGCGGGCCTCGGCCACGGGCGGCCCCCTCCCCCCCGACCCCGAGCTGCGGAGCGCGGCCCGGAAGAGCCCGAGCCCCTCCCCGAGATCGACGCGGCCCCGGCGTCGGCGCCCTGAAAAAGAGGCCTCCCGGATGGGGTCGGAGTGCGCCACACCCCCTCCTCCCTCCTCCTCCCTCCCCTCCTCCTCCTCCTCCTCCTCCTCCTCCTCCTCCTCCTCCTCCTCCTCCTCCTTCTCCTCCTCCTCCTCCTCCTCCTCCTCCTCCTCCTCCTCCTCCTCCTCCTCCTCCTCCTCCTCCTCCTCCTCCTCCTCCCCCCCCTCCTCCTCCTCCCCCTCCTCCCCTCCTCCCCCTCCTCCCCCTCCTCATCCCTCCTCCCCCGCCTCCCCCCCTCCTCCTTCCTGCGCCGGCGCCCTTAATAAGAGGCCTCCTGGATGGGGTCGGAGTACGCCAAACACCCTCGGCCCCTCGGGCAATGACCAAGCTCGTGGCGGGAAGCTTCTCCGCATGTCCGGCCTCTCGAGGCCCTTGCCCGGCCTCGGGACCGTCCGAGAACGGCTCAGGATGAGAAACTGGTCCAGGGGAATGGGTCGAGAACTTTGAGGGTCGACGTTATGAAAAATCATGACGTCGGGGGTCTGAGCAGATGGGGTCGGGGGATCGGGCCACATCGCCGACGCATCGCCGACGCATCGGCGACGTCGGCGGGGTGCATCGGCGACGACGGCGCGGAGAAGCTCGGGCTCTCCATCGAGCCGCATCTGCGGTGCATCGGCGATGTGGCGCGATTCCCCGACCCCAGCTACTCCGACCCCATTTGGGAGGCCTAGACTCCCTGATTCCGCCGTGGTCCTTGTGTCAGCGCCTCGCCTGTGCTCCTCCACCGCATCCTCCTCCTCCTCCTCCTCCTCCCCACCTCCCTCCTCCTGCCTGCCCCCTCTGACCAACAACACTCGGCGACGCCCTGGGACAGCTCTAACCCTGTGCCCCATGATACTCAACCCCTGTGGATAATTGAGTTCGGGGCCAAGGGGGAATAAGCAACGTTTTCCCAGAGATCGCAGCATGATGATGATGATGATGACGACGATGATGATAATGATGATGATCCTGGGCGACTCTCTAGATCCTCGCTCTGATGGTGAGACCCCCACGGTCATGCCACACGTATTTGATGATATTGCTAGTCAACATAAGAAGATATAAACTTAGATTCGCAAGTTCCCCCCGCGATGATTCAGTTCGGCCTTGCCGCCCCTCTCCCCCGACCAATTCTGCACTGGCCCGGGATGAGAAGATCTCCATCTCAAAGGGGGGGGGCATGATTTATTATCAGGGGGTCGGGGCCAGACCCCGCAGGACCTCGTCTGCCTCCCAGATCCTCAATCACGAGGAGCCTCTACGGGGCCCCCAGTCTGGCCGGGAGGGCCAAGAGGAGTCTGGCCGCGGTCCGATCTGGCCAGACGAGACCTCGGGCAGCGGAGGAGCGCGTCCCCGGACCCGCCTGGGACGGGTCCGGGGACCGACTTGTGCGAGCCGCGCCCGGCCGGTGACCCGCCACCAGAGGACCCCCCAAAAACCCTCGGGAGGGGACCTGTGACCAAAAAGCTCAACCTCGGTCCCAGCTTTTTTGAATTTCCTATTTTATTTTAAGAAATTCTGAGACCCAGCTCAAAAAAGTGAGTTTCTTAACAGACGATATGAGTGTATAAGAAGAGGGCCGGGTGCGTTTGGGGGACAGAGGGGGGGGGACCTTTTCTCTGCAGGAGCACCAGACCAAACCGCCCAGACTCGTGGCCCCCAACTAGGGAGGCACCAACTATACACCAACACCGATCCTGGCCAGGATCAACCTGGGCCCAGGATCGGTGTGTATGCCCTCCTGCCATGGGCAGAATGCATATACACCGATCCTGGGCCTAGGATCGGCCTGGGCTGGATCGGTGTAGGTGTATAGTTGGTGCCCTCCGACCAACGCAAAGACGGGTGCCCGAAAGAGGCCACGCCTCCGCTGTGTCAGCAAGGCTGGAGAGACTCGTGCGTTCTCGGGGAGCCGTGGCGGCGGCGGGCTCTCCCCCCCCCCCCCGTTGCACGGTGGCACGCCCAGGCCTGAAGGCCAAAGCAAAGCAGTGCTCGGCGACAGATCGAACATCGAGGGCTCCCAACTTCGCGCTTCGCGCTGCGCCAGGCGCGAAGTGCGGAGAACTGCGCGCCCTCGCGCCGCCTCCCAGGGGCCTCCCAGGGGAGAAGAGGATGAGGAGAAGTCGGAGCCGAACCGCGCAGCGCGAAGCACTTCGCGCCCTCGAGGGGCGCCCCTGGAACATTGCGAGGGGGGCCTAAGGAGGCACCCAGGAGAAAACAGCACGGGCCGAGGGGAGGGAGGTCACGCGGGCCGCAGGCGGCAGGTGCCCCCGGAGCCCCCAGGCACCCCGGGGGAGCCAGCGCCCGCCCCTCGGGACCCTTGGCCGTGGGCGGCCGGATTCCCCGTGCCTCGAGGTCGCTGTCTCGACTCGCCCTCCCCGGGAGCGTCGCGCTGCGGATCGCGGCCGTCCCCGCGCTCCCCACGCCGCCCTCGAGGAGGATGGCCAGCGCTCCTGGACTGGACCCTCGGAGCTCCGAGCGCGGGTGCCTTCTTGGCGCCCCCACGGATGGCCATGCCCCCTCCTCCTCCCCCTGCTCGCGTGCTCCTCTTACCCCCCCCTCCTCCCCACTCCCTTTCCTCACCCTCTCTCCTCGTCCGCTCTGAGCCCTCATCCCACGCCCTCCCTTTTCCTCCCCCCCTACACACACCACCACACACACACACACACACACACGCACACACGCACACACACACACACGCTTTCCTTATCGCTCTCCCCTGTCCAGCTCTACCATCCCCATCCTCCACCTGTTAATTGCCACTCATCGTCCTCCTCCTTGTCCTCATCCTGCTCGTCCCTTCCTCGTCCTCGTCCTCCTCCTCTTCCTGCTCCTCCTCCTCCTCCTCCTCCTCCTCCTCCTCCTCAGCCTGCTCCTCCTCCTCCTCCTCCTCCTCCTCCTCCTCCTCCTCTCCTCCTCCTCCTCCTCCTCCTCCTCTTCCCGGCCTCCCCCCTCCTCCTCCTCTTCCTCTCGCCTCCTCCTCTCCTCCTCTTCTCCTCCTCCTCCTCCTCCTCTCTCCACCTGCACTCTCCTCCTCCTCCCACTCCTCCTCCTCCCACTCACTCTCCCCCCTACCCTCTCCTCCTCCTCCTACCTCCTCCCCTCCTCCCTCCCTCCCTCCCTCCCTCCTCCCTCCCTCCCTCCTCCCTCCCTCCCTCCCTCCCTCCCCCCTCCCTCCCTCCCTCCCTCCCCTCCCCTCCTCCCTCCTCCTCCTCCCTCCCCCTCCCCTCCCTCCTCCCTCCTCCCTCCTCCCTCCTCCCTTCTCCTCCTCCATCCTCCTCTCCCTCCTCCCTCTCCCTTCCTCCTCCCTCCCTCCTCTCCCCTCCCTCTCTCCTCCTCCTCCTCCTCCTCTCTCCTCCCTCCCCTCCTACCTCCCTCCCTCCTCCTCCTCCTCCTCCTCTCCTCCTCCTCCTTCATCCTCCTCCTCCCCTCCTCCTCCTCCTCCTCCTCCTCCTCCTCCTCCCCCACCTGCCTCCTCTCCTCTCCTTCTCTTCCCGCTGCCTCCTCCCCACTCCGCCCCCGCCCCTCGTCCTTCGCGGCGTAGCCGAACCATGCGCAGAACTCCATGCCCGCCGGAGTGCCGGGCCAGAGGCCTGGCCCCGCGGAGATGAGGGGGGAGCGCCGGTGAGAGCCGAACGGGAGGAGGGGTGGCGGGGCAGGGGAGCGGGGGCGGGAGGGGTCCCAACCGAGCCCAGATGGGGAGCGGGAGAAGGCCGAATCCCAAAGGGCGCCCCAAGGCACCGCAGGGCGCCTTGCGGCACCGGGGCAGGCCAGGGAGGCCGTCCAGAAGCCATCGCCAGCAGCCACCCCGAGGCCAGACGCCAGGGGGGCGGGAGGCGGCAGCCTGGAGCCCAGAGGAACTCGAGAGGAGGGGGCACGAGGGTGAGAGGGGGGGGTGAAGGAGGAGGGGGAGGCAGAGGAGGAAGGGAGGGAGGGAGGAAGGGAGGGAGGAAGAGGGAGAGGAAGGGAGGGATAGAGAGGTCAAGATCGAGGCCCGCAAGAGAGAGAGAGAGAGAGAGGAGGGGGAGAGAGGGGATAGGAGGAGTAAGGGAGAGGGGGCGGGAAGGAAGCCTCGGCCGTCCCTGGGCCGCGGGAGAGAGGAGGCGAGGGGGCAGAGGCGGGGAGGCGGGCGGACTCCGGACGTGGCGCATCGGAGGGAGCCGCGCGGCGGCGCGGGTGGCCGAGGGCTGCCGGAGCTCGCTGCCGCGCATCCCGCGAAGAAGGGGCGGCCCCTCCGTGGCGCCCGCGACCGCAGGCCGCGCCACGGAGCGCCCCCACGCGCAGAGGAAGCCGAGAACCCGGAGGCGGCCCCAGGGGGCGCCCGCCCTCCCTTCAGAACCCCAGCGCTCGGGCCACGGCCTCCGAAAGGCTCCCCACGACGAGGGGGGCGGGGGAGAGGTGGGGGGGGGAGATCCTCTGGACGGGGCTGTGCATTCGAAAAGGGCGCTTTCCCTGGCAGCCTCCGTCCTGGCCGAGGACTCCGTGGACATTCCTTCCGCTGCATGGTGCAGGCGAGGCGTGGTGCTGCGAGCTTTGCAGCCCCGCCACGTGGAAATGAACGCACCCACACCGCCGAGATCAGCGGGCAACCCTGTGACTGACGCCCTGGAAGCCACACGACGGGTGCAGATTCGGCAGGCGCGTGCTTGCCAGCACGTCATGGCGCTCGAGCCGCCACGGGAGCACCTGCACGGCGGTGGCGCGTGCTCGCGCTCTTCAAAACTTGGTACCCGCTCGGATGCCCAAATCGGCCGACGGATGCCGACCGATCCCCTCCAAAACACTTCTTCTCCCCCGCCCCCACCCCCCCATGTAGGAGGAGGGGAAGAGGAGGATGCTCACGTCGCCTCGCCGAGAGAACTCGGGATCCAGGTCCCCACAAGAAGCATCACTGGTGGCCGCAGTCCTCCAAAAACCTCGCGGGAACGGCAGCTGGCGCCCTCACAATGCGTCCCAGTCTGCAAAAAAGGTGATCACGGGAACGGAAAATGCTGGCGCCCTCACAATGGCCTCCGTCCGCAGAACGGTGAAGTGTCATGCTCTCGACCCCGTCCGGCCCTCGACCCCATCTTCCAGGAGCAGAGGAGCCCTCCAACCCCTCCCTCCCCCATCCGTAATCGTGTGGCTCGATGCGACTTCCACTTGTCCGAAGCTGGGTGTTCGCCATTTCAGTCAAGCGCGCTCATGCGCAGCTCTCAGCGCGAGCTTGGCGCTGCTGAGTAGGCAGTGAATTCAAGTGCTTTCACTGAGGGCAGCGCGCTGTAGCGCTGTCTTGGGTGGCAACCCTGTGGCACCCAGGAGCACTCGCAAGGGAGCCGAGGACAGCTCGTTCTAGCGCTGCTCTGTGTGGCAAGCCTGTGACGCCCAGGAGCCCGCGCTTGGGAGCTCACCGCGTGCTTGCGGTGTGTTCGGCACGTTCGTGCGCGCGGCTGGACGGGGACCCCCCGTCGACGCTTCGCGTGGTCCGCCGCCCTCGCCCCCGGCGTGTCGTCCTCGTCGTTGGGTTTTTCGCTGGATTCGACTCGATATGTTGGGCCTTGCCTGGCCGCTTGGCCCCCTCCGGGGCATGAGGCCCAATCGGGCCGGTCCCCGGCGGCTCGGCGGTTTTTTCGGCCGCTGTTCCGCTCCCCTGGTTCGCCCGGGGGGCTATTCTGGGAAACGGAGAGGGGGTGGAGAGTAGAAGGAGGAGGGGGAGGAGAGTAGAAACAACAAGGAGGAGGAGGAGGAGAAGGAGGAGGAGGAGGAGGAGGAGGAGGAGGAGGAGGACGAGGAGGGGAAAGAGAGCAGAAAAGAGGAGGAGGAGGAGGAGGGAGGAGGAGGAGGAGGAGGAGGAGAAGGTGGAGCAGGGGGAGAACACGAGATGGGGGAGAGCAGGAGGACGTGCCGAGGGAGGAGGCTCATCACGTCACCGAGCGTTGGCACCCCCAGGGGCATCCCGTTGTTCCTACCGGCGGGGGAGGACGCGCGTCGAGAGGCCGCGAGAGGGCCTCGAAAGGGCCTCAGGCAATCCCAAACTACTTCAAGATGGTCATCGAAACGCGGCC